GTTGCAGGGCCTGCCAGGAGTCACTTAAGTTGTGCTTGTTCATGCGTGGCATACCCGGTGGTGCTCAGGGCTCACTCCTGGCTCTGTACTCAGGAATCACTCCTGGTGGGCTCAGGGGACCATATGCGGCGCTGGCGATTGAAGCGGGTTGATCATGTGCAAGGCATGTGCCCTACCTGCTGTACTATCTCTCTAGTGCCTATCCTCTGGTTCTGAAGATCAGATATTAACAAATGTCCCCTGAGCATCAGAATCATCCCTCGTTGAGAACCACTGTTTTAAAGTAGTGTTTCCTAATTAGGGATATGCCTTTCTAGTCAGCAGAAAGAGGTTCAAAAACTGCAATTGGATCTTACTCCCAGAGATTCTGGCAATTGATTTGATACTTAGCCATAACTATGTGCTACTTTATATATGTGTGTGTATATATAAAGTATATATTATCACTTGATCACTTGATATCCCGTTACTCATCGATTTGCTCAAGCGGGCACCAGTAACATCTCCATTCACTCCTGTTGCGTGCTAGCATAGCCCAATGGCATCTGCTCGTTCTAGGAACATGAAGAGCCTCAAACCGATCGTTCAGGGTCTTGACAAAGAAGTCTGACCATCTCACAGGTGGGTGGCCATGTGATCTTTTGACGTCCTGTGGAATCCAGTCAGTAATGGCTCTAGTCCAGCGGTCATCTCCCAATCTCATTATGTGTCCAGCCCATCTGATTTTCGATGCCTTTGGCAAATGAGACAGCGTCCCTGATTCTTGAGTGTTTACGTAGGTCGGAAATCTGGATTCTTTCTCTCGTTTGAGTGAAGCATGATACTCCAAGCATAGCTCTTTCGATTCCTCTTTGGGAGACCCAAATAGCGTTCTCATCCTGTTTTCGTAGGGCCCAAGTCTCTGAGGCATATGTTAATGCAGGAAAAAAAGTGGAATCGAAGAGATGTGCCCAGAACCGGAGGTTCTTCGTCCTCTTAGCTATTTGTTCGATGCTCTTGAAGGCGTTCCAAACCGCTCTATTCCTCCTGCGCAACTCAGGTGCCAGGTCATTCATCGTGTTGACTTCTCGACCTAGGCACACATAACTGTTGCATTCAGAGATGGTCGTTCTGTTGAGAGTGAATGAAACGTCAGGAACAAGACTGTTTCTCATGAACATTGTCCTTGTGAGATTCAGCTGTAATCCGACCTTTCCACACTCACGGTCCAAGGCGGTCAGTGTTTGTGCTGCTTGGCTGATGTTTGGTGTTATTAGAACAATGTCATCACCAAAGCAGAAGTGGTGTAGTTACTGACTATCTATCTTCACTCCCATTTCTTCCCATTCCAGTCATTGCGTGACATTCTCGAGGGTGACACTGAAGAGTTTCGGTGAAATAGTATCACCCTGCCAAACCCCTCTCTTGACATGGATGATCACTTCTTTGTAGAATGGTGAGATCCTGGTAGTGAATCCGTAATACAGCTCACGGAAGATCCTGATGTATTGAGTTTGAATGCCCTGATAGGCTAGGACTTCGATGACCGCTTCTGTCTCAACGGAATCAAAGGCCTTTTTAAAATCAATGAACATTAGACAGAGCGGCATCTTGAACTCCCGAGGAACCTCAATAAGCTTGGTTATCGTGTGGATATGGTTGATGGTGCTGAATCCTTTTCAAAACCTGACTTGCTCGCATGGTTGTCCTTCATCTAGTGTTCTGCCAATCCTATTCAGGATGACTCGAGTGAACAGCTTCTAGATGACAGACAATAGGCAGATTGGGTGATAGTTGCCAATGTTGTGGATGTCTCCCTTCTTGTATAGTAGTACAGTCCTGCTGGTTTTCCACTGGGACGGAACCTTGCATTCAGACAGGTAGTGTGTGAAGAGCCGAGCCAGTGTATTGATGAGTACTGACGGCAGGTTCTTCAGGTGTTCAGGTCTGACCTTATCTGGGCCAGGTGCTCTTTGTTTTTTTACTTACGAGATGGCATGTTGGATTTCAGAATGGAGAACGTTGGGAACGATATATCCATCCTGCGAAATTTGCTAAGTGGGCAAGTGGACGTGGCTATTAAAGAGATTAAAGAGATCTGAGTAGAAGTCATGAATAATCTCCATTGCCCTTCTGGAAGATGTGATAGATCCATCAGGATGTCGGGGGGGCAGTCATCTTGGTCTTGTAGTTGGTGAAGGACAGGTGTGCATTGCGAATGCTTTTCCCGGCTTCTGCCACATCTACCTGCACTGCTTTGTGAGCTCGAACGTTCCGGTTGCCTGAGGCAAGCCACGTTGGCGAATAAGCTCAAGAGTTTTCGAAGACAGGTGTTTCTTTGTGGTTATCTCTCTCGGCGTTCCTCGCACAATCATGGAGGTGCTGAACCAGTCGATCGTATTCCTCGTCAATGTTGTCAATGATGGCATCTTCCCATGTTGCCACAACAGAACCAAAGAGCTCCCAGTTGGCGGTCGTTCTGGGAGTTCTCTTCTTAAACTTTGCATTCCTTTCTCCCCGCTCTGTGAAGTAGAATTTTGCACAAAGGAGATGGTGGTCTGATCCCATTTGGAATTTTGGGATAACAGTGACATCAGCCAGGCAAACCTGTCGATTGAATATGATGTGGTCAATTTCATTGTGGAACCATCTACTGGGAGACTCCCATGTCCAATGTTTAGATTCGGCCTTCTGGAACTGTGAGTTACCATAGATGGTCTTAGTTGACATGACGAACTCAGACAGTCTGTCACCCTGTTCGTTCCATTCTAGGCCATGGGTCCCAATGTGGAGTTCTTCAGCTGATCTTCTCGGTCCTATCTTGACATTAAAATACCGACAATGATCTTGTAGAAGGTGTGGTCTTCTTTATAGAACTTCTCCAGCTCCATGTAGAACTTCTCAATTTCTTCTTCACCATAATTGGACGTTGGTGTGTAGACAACGAAGATTGAAATTGCCGGCAGTGAGCCACATCTATTCAAGTGTAAATGTCCGATTCGGGTTGTTAGGCATTCGAATGAATCAATGCTCATGGCTTAGTTTGTGTTGACAAGGACACCGATGCTTCCGACACCTCTTTTATCGCATGTTCCAAGGAACAGTTCTTCTCCAGTGTCGGAAACGGTGTGATGTGATTGATGCCTTCTCGTCTCGGTCAGACCAATGATGTCGTACTTGATCTTTCGCGCTTGTACCATCAGGTCCTCGATGCCAGCATACGTGCATTGAAAGTACAGACGTCATTTTTGTCTTTCTTCGTTTTGGCAGCCTAGTTCGGCCTTGAGATTTTATCAGCCTCTCCGTCAACATCCTTCTCAACGCTGCTGTATTCAGCATCAGGGGAATGAGACCCATTGTATTTACTGGATTTGGCATATCAAATATACCACGCATAGCTTGCCAGGCTCTGCTGTGTGGGTGGGATATACTCAGTAGCCTGAAAACACAAATAAACTTTACAAGTGTTCATATTCAGGCATATGTACTGGTATGGTACTCTCGGTAGCCTGCCTGGTTCTCTGAGAACAAGAACTAGAGGATAAGAAGTCGCGTGGCTGCAAATGCGGGTACGCACTTCCGGGAGCCTGTTGTTATAGTCTCTGGATCCTGGCCGTTGATGGGGTTACACAGCAGTTGGTAGGTGTAACTGTCTAGCTACTGGAATGCCCAGTCACGAACCGAGCAGGCTTGGAGATCTCAGCCCCGGGTCCTGCACACCTGGGTTCCTCTACCGGTTCCTTCCTGCGTGAGGCTCATCCAAGCGTGTGGAGAGTGGGCTCAGCATGGCTTTGGCTGGGTCCCGGAGGTCTTCAGCTGTCGGGCCCTGGTGAGGACAGTCAGGCATGGGGGCAGGAGACTCTGCTTTGTTCTCATCTGGGAGCTTGGTGTTATAATCTCTTTATAAAGGAACACAGTACTGGGGTGAAGGGCAAGGGATGGATCAGTGACTCTGAACTCCTACTTGCAACCATAAGCCCTTGAATTCTATCCCTAGGGCTTCCCACATGCGTCTAGCATGGTCCTTATGGTTCTGCTTTTTTTTTTTCCTCTTCTTATTTTTTTGTGGGGGAACATACCTGCTGGCACTCAGGGCTTATTCTTGGCTCTGTACTCAGGAATCATTCCTGCTGGACTTGGGGAACCATATACAATGCCAATGGATGAAACTCGGTTGGCCGCATGCAAGGCAAATGCTTTACCTGCTGTACTATCCTTCTGTTTTGTTTTGTTTTGCTTTGTTTTGCTTTTTGGGTCACACCTGGCGATACATAGGGGTTACTCCTGGCTCTGCACTGAGGAGTTACTCCTGGCGGTGCTCAGGGGACCATATGGGATGCTGGGAATCGAACCTGTGTAGGCCGCATGCAAGGCAAACGCCCTACCCGCTGTGCTATCTCTCCAGCCCCTTTCTGGTTTTTTTGAGAGCACCAGTGCTATAGCGTGTACACATGCGTGCGTGTGCGCATGCACTTCAACTAAAAGTGTGAGAGCATTATGGATAGGAATGCAGCACTGGACGAGCCCTACAACCAGAAGATCAATGTATACAAGCACCACAGGTAACTGAGTGGAGCCTCAGGCCTGCGTGGGTTGCACAAACATACAACTGCATACAACTGGGGTATACAACCCCCATCACTTCAAGAACAACAAGGAGAAGGGGTGGAGGAAAGAGAACAAGACTTTTTTTGTTGTTTAACTGACATTATTTCTATTAGAGACCAGTAGGATCCTTCAAATGTGACCATCAAAAATGTCTCCAGACTGCAGATATCCTCTGGGGTGTTGGCAGAATTGACCCCTATGGAGAACCACTGATTAACCAAAAGCAAAAGGGAGGGTTTCCTGCCAAGAGACCCATCTACTACTAGAAATGTTTTTAAATGTTAACAGCTTCCCTTCCAAGAATTTGGAAAATGTGTCAGAATATCAGGGAAGACGTATAGCACTAAACAAGGATGCAGTAAATATTGTAGTAAGTTATTGCTTTATTCTTTTTCCAGGAATCATTGTAATTGATCACTTTCCGGTTCTCAGCCACTCAGTTGTGATAATCAAGGGCTGCGGTGTTGTGGTCTTGGAACGACCACCTCAGAATAGGAAAATATTTGGTAAGGGAGGCAGCATGCATGGAGCAGCATGGCCCAGCCATCCTGCCAGCAAGATGGCTCGAGGACTGGACAGCATGCTTGTGTGGGGGAGGTTTGGTTCAGTTCCTTACACCACTTGGTCTCCTAAGCAATACCCAGGAGTGCTCTAGGAACTGCCCCCAGATGAAATAATAAATAACCAATCCTGAAGTCAGGTTCACTGGTGTTACTGTCCTGAGGAGTCATGAAAAATTTCTTTTGCTTTGTTTTGGGGCCATATCCAACATTGCTCAGGACTTGCTCCTGGCTTTGAGCTCCTGACTGGCTCAGGGGACTCTGTGTAGTGCTGGAGATTGAACTTGATTCAGCTGCATGCAAGGCAAACTCCCCACCCATTGGACTATCACTCCAGCCCCTGTGATTGGGTTTGATCACACCTGTCTCACTGAATGGATGTGAAGTTTGGAGACAGTTGTTTCAAAGAGCTTAGTATATAGTCACGTAATTGAACGTGTCTTTAGTTTCTAATGAACTCAAGTTTTTTCCTACTTCTGAAATGCTATTATTATACCTGGAATTTCTGAGCTGCAGGGGATCTTTGTGGTGCCAGCAAGACAGGTACTCTGCTGAGCCACATCCCTGGCCCAAGCTAGAGGGGACTTAAAAAACTCTATTTCAGTCTCCTTATTTCTTGGATTAGGTTAGATAGTCACATAGCTGCAAATCAAGTTACGTAGCATAGTAAGTTAATACCATAATAGTATGGTGTAACACCACACCGAGGGTAGGTTCAAATTCTGTAAATGTACCTTTGAGAAGCACCTTTATTGATAATTTTTATGCCTCTAAATGCACTCGCTTAGCGCTTGCATTGCACATGGCTGATCCTGGTTCGATTCTTGGCACTGTATATGGTCCCCCCGTCCTGCCAGGACTGATTCCTGAGCACAGATCCAGGAGTAAGCTTTGGGCACAGCTTGAGCCCCCAACAAACAGAAATAATTCACCCACTTAAAATGTACACTTGTGCAACTCTCACTGCCATCTTAAGAGTTTAGGACTTTTTTTTGGGGGGGTGGTCCACACGGCAGTGCTCAGGGGTTACCCGTGGCTCTCCACTCAGGAATTTCTCCTCAGTGCTTGGGGGACCATATGGGATACTTAACCCAGGTTAAGCTACGTTCTTCTCTCTCTGTCCCCCTCGCTAGCCTCCTTGAGGTCCATCATGCTGCCCTGCTTTCTCTCTCCAGCTCTCTTGCCTCTCCAACCCCCCTGCACTCTGGGCTGACACTGCACCCAGTCAGGTAGCCAAATCAACATAAGAAAGCCCTTCCTGAGGGCCCACCAAGTTCAAAGGGAACACCACCTAGGATGTTCCAAAGCCCTTCCTGACTGCCCAAGGGCAAAATACCCTTAGTTACCCCTTTCCTCAGTCCAATAACTACCAACATATCAATACTAGCTATTTTTGTATTGACACAGTAAGAGATAACATTGAGGCATGTAGGGCAGCTCTCCTGGGAACATGACCACAGACTCAGACTACAGCGCTCAGGCCAGATTAATCATTCCTTACCCTAGGAGGGTCCAAATTTAGTTGTTACTTTTTGGATCATGACAGCATTTGTCCATGACCAAGCTCTTAATTTATAGTTAAACATCATGGCGCTTTGGCCAGGCCCATTTCGATGCCAGGGTAGCACATAGCTTACCGCTTGCCCTGGTTCCATCCAGTCCCTCTTTGGGACCCTGCTTTTGGGGGCGCTAGGAAGTAAAGGCAGCTGAGGCTTAGTTGAGAGAACAGATGCCCAGGAAATATCACTGAGAGTCACATTACAAAAGCATGTCTTCTTGTATCCATACAAAAAGGACATTGCTCTGAATAAACTATGCAAAGGATATAGGGAGAAGAGAAAAACAATATTTACAAGTCAACAGAGCGCAAAGAAAGTTACAAATAAACACAGAGGAATGGGAGCACTGTGATGGGAGCAACCCAATAGATCTAAACTACCCGAGGCTATGCAGGAAGTACAAAACAGTGTTATCCTACAGTCAGTCACATGCGAAGCAAGTGCCCTCCCTGCTGTACTATCTCTCTGGTGCCCCCCATTGTAGTTTTGATGGGCATTTCTCTCACAAGAGGTGCATGACATGTAGCACATCCTTAATGAGTTTAATTGGCCACTTGCATATTTCTAGAAATATGTAAATCCTTTCCCCTTCAGTTGGATTGTTTTGTTCATCATTGAATTTTAAGGTATTTTTTTTATCTACTTTGAATACCCGCACTTTCTATTAAATAATTCGCAAATGTTTTCAACAACCCCCTTCTGTGGGTTGTTGCAATTCCTGTAGTATTGCAGAGCAAAATTGTGAATTTTTTAGGTAGTGTAATTTTTTTTTTTTTTTTTGCTTTTGGGGTTACACCCGGCGATGCACAGGGTTTACTCCTGGCTCACGCACTCAAGAATTGCTCCTGGCGGTGCTCAGGGGACCGTATGGGATGCTGGGAATCCAGCCTGGGTCGGCGTACCAGGCAAACGCCCTACCTGCTGTGCTATCACTCCAGCCCCAGGTAGTGTAATGTTTTTTTTTTTTTTTTGCTGTTCATGCTTTTGGTGCCATATCTAAAAAGCCCACTCGAGCAAATCAATGAACAATGGGAGGACAGTGACAGTGATCTAAAAAGCAGTGTGGAATCAGTGTTATGAAATTTTTACCTATGTTTTTTGAACCTGATTTTTATGGTTTTGGCTTTTCAAAGTCTTGTGATTTTAGGGACCATAGCTGGCAGTACTCAGAGACTGGTAGGCGTGCATTGCTCAGGACTTGATCTTGTGGTTCTGTGGCGATCATGTAGGTGCTGCGAATCTAACCCGGCACTCCTGCATGCAGATCTTGTTCTCCAGACCTTTGAGCTATCTGACCCTAGTTTTAGCTATAAACTTCAGTTCTTTGATTCAGCTTGTTTAATTTCTTTTGCTGTTGTTTGTTTGCAGTCCTGGGGATTTAAACTCTGGGCTTCTCACATATAGAGGCAGAGCTCTACCACTAAGTGACATACATCCCTGGCCTGAGCAGATTTTTTTTTACGGTATAGAGGGAGTGTGAAATTTTATCCTCTGGCATGTGAATATCCGGTTTCTCCATCCATCTTTTTTTTTTTTTTTTTGCTTTTTGGGTCATATCCAGTGATGCACAGAGGTTACTCCTGGCTCATGCACTCGGGAATTACTCCTGGCGGTACTCAGGGGACCATATGGGATGCTGGGAATCGAACCCAGGTCAGCCATGTGCAAGGCAAAGATCCTACCCGCTGTGCTGTCAACTTCAGCCCCTCTCCATCTTTTGTTAAAAATACACATTTTTTTCAATAGTACTTAAACCATCCTTTAATCTGAACACTGAAATGAAGTCTAATGTGAACTTAAAAAAAGAGAAAAAAAGCAAGAGCAGAGAATTTGGGGAAAGGATGTGTCTCTTTAGTTTATGGCATTTCCCCCTTCCTCCCCAAGTTCCTGGAAGCCTAGATTTCCTGCTGGATAATCCACCTTTAGAAATCTGATTCTGATGTAATTGGCCTGGAGTGGGATTCTGATATATGTGTTTATTCAAAACTTCCTAGATGAAAACGAAAACACAAAATCCTTAGTTGATCCAAATGTATTCAAGGTAAAAAATTTGTAAACTAGGGGCTGGACGGAGAGCACAGTAGGTAGAAAGCTTTCCTTGCACACAGCCCATCCGGGTTTGATTCCTGGCACCCCATATGGTCCTCTGAGCACTGCCCAGCAGGACTGATCTCAGAGCACAGAGCCCGTAGTAAGCCCTGAACACAACCAGATGTGCCCCTAAACAAAAAACACACGAAAAGAAGTAGTAATTTAAATGGCAGAGAGCCACAGAGGACTCCCCCGATGTCCACAGGAGGCACTCTGGTCTTTGCTGGCTTTGCGTCTCTTCTGTGGACTGTTGTCCTCTATGCCACAGGTGGCAGCATCTCCTTACTGATTTGTACCATGTCAGTGATTTTCAAGTGGAAGCATTTGGGGAACGAAATATACGAAATAAGAGGATCCAGTGGAAGAGAGCATAAATCCAGAGGACGGCTTTTCTTCCTGTAAATGGGGTGGGGGGGTGGTATTTGTTTTATAAGACCGGCTTTTGTTTGTCGTGAGGATCCCAGATGCTCACACGTGCAAGACAAGTGCTGTACTGCCGAGCTGCATCCTGAGCCATCCGGGCATGTTTTAAAAAAGAATGATTTCAGTTTGTTTCACAAATGATACGAAGAAAATTCTGCTTTGCCACTTTGGTTTTACCTATTATTCTGTGGATACTGGAACAATCTGACTTTAGTCATGGGAACACAAATTGAATTTTAAATTTTTTCTAGATTTTGAGTCTTTTGCATCTATGAAAGACAAAGTGCCCTTATTTATTTTTTTGTTTTGGGGCCATATCCAGTGGTGCTTAGGGCTTACTCCTGGCTCTGTGCTCAAAAATCACTTTTGGCAGGGCTTAGGAGACCAACCGTATAGAATCCCAGGGATCAAACCCAGGTCAGCAACATGCAGGTTCAAACCCAGGTCAGCAACATCCAGGTCTTTCTCACTATACTAGCGCTCCAGGCCCTAGAATGACCTTTATTTTTTTTTCTTATTTATTTATTTTGGCTTTATGGATCCCATCCAGAATTACTCCTAGTTCTGCACTCAGAAATTTCTCCTGGCTGTGCTCAGGGGACCATAAGGGATGCTAGGGATGGAACCCAGGTTGGCTGCATGCAAGACAAACATCCTACCTGCTGTACTATCGCTCTGTCTCCTAGAATGTCCTTTGTTGTTTGAAACTGTGTTTGTGGGAAAACAGGAGGCCTGCGACCAGAAAGCTATCAGAAGTGCCCTGTGCCCTGGGTGTTGAAGCATCCTAAAATCCTTAGCATGTTTCTCGCAGTAAATCCTGCCTTCAGTAATGACACTTTCTATACTCCACTTCTTTTTTACTGAATGTAACCTGCCCACACGGCAGAGTCTGGCAAACTCCCCGTGGCGTACCCAATATCCCAAATACCAGTAACAATGATGGGTCTCATTCTCCTAACCCTGAAAGAGCCTTGAATATGGCACTTTTTTAAATCTCAGGGCTAGGACAAAGGAGACGTTACTGGTGCCTGCTCGAGGCAATTGACGAACAACAGGATGATCGTGATCGTGATTTTATTATTATTTTGGGGCTTGGGGGTCATACTTGGCAGTGTTCAGAGCATAATCCTGGCTCTGCACTCAACAGTCACTCCTGGTGGTGCTCAGGGACCATATGGGGTCCTGGGATTGAACCTGGGTCACCAGTTTGCAAGGCAAGTGCCTTACCTGCTGTACTCTGCCCCCATGTACCACATTTCTATTCATCGTTGTTAATTGCCTGTGTAATTGCCCCTGTGGCTAGTTTCAGCATCATTTTGAATGACACATGTCTCCTAGTCCTATTGACTCTGCTTTCAACCAGTGCTCCAGAAAGTGCTTTGAAACCAGTGCTAGGCTGTAAACTGTCTTCTAGCCCATAATAAAGTAACACTTAAGCATTTGTATGGAAACTTGACATACTCATTAGCATTTTCAAAGATGCTGTGAAGTTTGCAGTGGATTGAGAAAAACATAAAACTGGTCAATCCCCACAGTTGGTTAAGAAGCACCATCCTAAGGGAAGTAGCTCTGGGGAGGAAGTGCTTTAAATAATCTGTCTTTACATTTATTTTTCTCTCTCCCAGGGATTTTATATTGGAAGACATGGATCTTGCTGCCAATGAACTCAGCATTTATGACAAACTTTCAGAGACTGTTGATTTAGTGAGACAGACAGGCCATCAGTGTGGCATGTCAGAGAAGGCAATTGAAAAGTTTATCAGACAGCTGCTGGAAAAGAATGAACCTCAGCGAATTCCACCCCGGTATCCTCTCTTTGTGGCTGTGTACAAGGTAACAGTGTGTTCTGCCTTGGGAGTATCTTAGAGTGCAAATGATAGCATTTTCCCAGTATTACTCTTGACTAATTACACTATTAAGCCTTGAACTTGCTGTGAATAAATTGCCTTTGCTAGTTTACTCAGAAATTTGATTATTTAGATAAATGTCCTGGAAGAAAGATGTGTATTTATAATTACATGGTGTTTGTATGGCGGGGGGGGGGGGGGGGATTGTTTGTTTTTTTTTGTTTTTGCTTTGTGGGTCACACCCGGCAATGCTCAGGGCTTACTCCTGCCTCTATACTCAGGAATTACTTCTGGTGGTGCTGGGTGACCTTATGGGATGGCAGGGATTAAACCGTGGTTGTCCACATGCAAGGCACCTTACCTGCTGTACTATCGCTCCAGCCCCATGAGTGTATTTTTTAATTTTTAAAATTTTTTTCTTTTTTGAGTCATAGCCAGCAGTGCACAGGGGTTACTCCTGGCTCTGCACTCAGGAATTACTCTTGGCAGTCCTCGGGGGACCACATGGGATGCTGGGGATTGAACCCGGGCTGGCCGTGTGCAAGGCAAACGCCCTACCCGCTGTGCTATCACTCCAGCCCCGAGTGTATTTTTTTAATGGTGGACTTTTCCCTGTTAGGTGATAGAAACTTGGTGAACTTTGCAGTTCTTATAGTTTATACTTTAAATGATTTTGTTTGTTTTTTGGGGGTCATACCAGTGTTGCTCAGGGGTTACTCCTTCTGGAAGCACTCCTGGTGGTGCCCAGGGGATCATATGGGATGCTGGGGATCGAACCCAGGTCAGCCATATGCAAGGCTAATGTCCTACCCACTTCGGCCCTTATACTTTCAGTACTTTAGAAGTAAATGTATTAAAAAAAAAAAAACTTTAAAAAAAATGGGGCTGGAGGGATAGTACAGCGGGTGGGGCCTTTGCCTTGCACGGGGCAGTGATGGTCCCCCGATCGCTGCCAGTAGTAATTCCTGAGTACAGAGCCAGGAGTAGCCCCTGTGCATCACCAGTGTGTCCCAAAAAGAAAAAAAAAATAGAAATAAATGTAAATTGGTTGTTTATGAAAGTGAATTTTTTAAAAAATGAAAGTGAATTTTTTTTAAAAATGAAAGTGAGTTTTTTGGGAGGGTCACACCTACCAATGCTCAGGGCTCACTTCTGACTCTCTGCTCAGGGAACATTCCTGGCGGGGTTCTGGGGGGCATACGGGGTGCTGGGGATTGAATCCAGGTCCGCTGCATGCAGAGCAAGTGCCCTGTTCGCTGTGCTCTCCGTCCCTGAAAGTGATTCCAAAGGCACGTTGGAAAATCCTCCACTTTTTTCTCAGCACTAAAGTCTTGTCAGGACAACTCTTGATCCTTTTCCTGTCTTTTTTTGTAGGTCCTCTTAACCCTGGGATTTATCTTGCTCACTGCCTACTTTGTGATTCAACCTTTCAGCCCATTACCACCTGAACCAGTGCTTTCTGGAGCTCACGCCTGGCGCTCACTCTTTCATCACATCCGACTGATGTCCTTACCCATTACCAAGAAGTATGTGTCTGGAGATCAGGGCGAGTCTCTGCCTAGGGGTGATGACAGACACTTTTCAGGTAGAAGCTGCATTTACTGCTTATAAGATCGCTTTCTGCCTCTAATAAGAAACACTTTAACACTTTCCCTATATTGTCTCTTTTGGTAGGGGGGATAAAGGGGGGCCTCCCTCACTGGCTTAGGAGGTGTAGGGGTCTCCAGATTTTTCTCGTACAACCAGGTTTAGATTTAGCACTGGGCCTAAGGATGCAGTGCTCTCTGGCCCTGCAGTGTCGGGGATTCCCAGGGGTACTCCCACAATGCCTTGGGACCTCTAGGGTCACACTTAGTGTGCAAAGCAACCTGCAGGGCTGCCTGGCTGTGCTGGGCGGCGAGGTGGGGGCATGTGGTTACCAAGGATTGAACCAAGGTGAGCTGAATGCAAGGCAAGCACTCTAACCTCTGTACTGTCTCTCTGTCCCCTGTATTGACTCATTTATTACAGGACGCACTAAAACTCTATGGGATGGATTTCCCACCTTGCAGGAAGTTATTGAGGCTCGGAGATTAAAAAAACTTGTCAGAGGAGCTGATTGTGACTTAGCAGTAGAGCACATACCTTGCATGTGTGAGGCCTTGGGTTCAATTCTCAGCACCACACCAGAAGAAAAGAGAAAGTGAAGGGGCAGGAGAAGCCGTAGTACAGTGGGTAAGGCATTTGCTTTACACACAGCAGGTCCAGGTTCGATCCCTGCATCCTGTATGCCCCCCAAGTCTCCCAGCAGTGGTCCCTGATCACTGCCGTGTGTGGCCCATAGAAGGAGGGAGAGAAAGACAGACTTCGCCCGAGAAGCACGTCTGTTGGAGCCAAGCTGAAAGAATCACGTATTGTGGCAATTAGTGTTTTTTTTTCCCCCCATAGGAAGGATTTTAAAAAAAATCCCACTTTTATTTAAACATCGTGGTTTACAGAGTTGTTCCTGATGCATTTGTTATAGGCATTCAACATTCCATCATCAATCCCACCACCACTATGACTTCCCTCCACTTTTATCCCCATTTTCCTAACCACCCCTCAAGCCTGTCCCCTTAGTATGCCCCAAATCATTTTATGTTGCTTGTTACAACTAAATGGCTAATGGAATTATAAAAAAAAATATTTCAGTAAAATAAAGGATTGTGAGCATTTTTATATCTTACCATGGGAACAGCAAGACCTTGTCTGAGAGTTTTCTAAGATATTGTTGCTAGTTGAGCCTTCTGTGTTATTTATTGTTTCTTGTTGTGCTCAGTTGGCTTCTATGTTACTTTCCCTTCTACTTTGCTGTGCTGCATAGCACTGGAATGGCAGAAATGCACGTTCCAGAAACTCCAGAATATTTAACTGGGCAGTGAGCTTACATAGTGGCGGTTGTGGGATGTGGGTGTGCCTGCCGGGGCTTCTGGAAGTACTGGGAATGGGGCCGGGGGGGGGGGTCACCCACCCCCATTCGGAGAAGATCCTGGAGTTCTCAGCCAAAAACTAATTTACCTGATAATTTGGCAGTTTGGTGTTTGCAGAGCTCCGTTGTGAGGCAGTGGAGTTAGCTGTTGGCATGGCGGCGGCTATTGGGGTGTGAGTGCAGCAGTGGGGTTTCAGCAGGGCGGGCACTCAGCCTGCCCCCCTCCAGGGGTGCCCCACAGTTTCCAGCCAGGAGACTGGTGTACCTGTGAGTTTTCATGAGTTTGTAAAGCTGGGCCGCCGGGTGAGCTTACATGGCGGCAGTTGTGGGACGTGAGTGGGGCTGCTGGGACCGGAGGGAGGCGGCCCGCTCCCACTTCCTAGGAAGGTCTGAGTCTACCTTCGGCCCTTCTCTGCCTCAGTCCTGTTAGTAATAAATACTTGAGTAACTGGCGGTTGATACTGATACTGAAAATGTGAGCCAAGCTTGCTTTTATTTTTAAGCTTGAAGAATTTCCCCCTTTTTTGTTGTTGCAGTGACTAAGGATTGCACAGTTATTGTGGTGCACGAACACTTTCAGTCGTGGTGTTTGCCAGGGGTTGCACCCTTGAGTCTGTGTTTTCACACACCTGCACGTGCCGTGCTGAAGGTCACATGCTGTGTTGCAGCAGGGCTTCCTCAGAGCAGTTGGATGCAGTGTACAGCCTCTGCCTGCGAGGCAGGCCTTCTGCCATGAGGCCATTCCGGACCCCGCTGCTTCTTACCAGAGTCTCTGATCGACCTAAACTTCTTAGGCTAGGCCTGGTCTGGGTGTCGGAATCATTCTTTGAGTTTAGCCCCTTCCGTCTCGTAGTTCACTTAATTTACTAGGCCTCAGTATACAGTTGTTCCAATTAATTGCATTCAGGGGACATTTCAACGTAGTGATTGTGCATCAGTGGCAGCATTGTCTAATCTGACAGACGATTTGAGGAGTTTGCTTTTAAAAATTGCCTAACACTTGAAATTTACCTTTTTTTGTTTCGTTCTTTTGGGCTACACCTGGCTTAGGGGTTACTCCTGACTCTGTACTGAGAAATTATTCTTGGCAGTGCTCAGGTGACCATATGGGATGCCAGGGATTGAATCCAGATCAGCTGTGTGCAAGGCAGGCACCCTGTCTGCTGTACTAGCTCTTGAGCCTTGACTTGAAATTTGCTTTTGTGGGAAACATGAAAAAAAAGGGGTATTAGTATAAGATATAATTTTTTTTAATGATGCTCTTTGGGGGTCAGAGTACAGAGGGTAGGGTGTTTGCCTTGCATGAGGCCGACCTGGGTTCAATCCCTGGCATCCCATATGGTCCCCCGAATTCACCAGGAATGATTCCTGAATGCAGAGCCAGGAGTAACCCCTGAACATCTCTGGGTGTGACTCAAAAATTAAAAAAGAAAAAGAGAGATGCTCTCTTATTTGCCCATATGAGGAGATTGACAAAGTAATATCATACATGCATTATAGAATTTTTTGTGACCATGTTCTGAAATTTTTAGCACTCAGTATAATTTTTGGGGGGAAGGGGGTGGAATTTGGGCCATACCTGGTGGTACTCAGAACTTTCTTCTGACTCTGCACTGAGGGACTCAGGGGGCCCTATGTGGTGCTGGGATTGAACCAGCTGCATGCAAAGCCGGCAGGTGCTGATCCTGCTGTCCTGTCTCTCTCTCCAGAACGGAATATAATTTTTTAAGTCAAAAAGAAACGTAGTAGTAACTATTTTTTTTTCCTACGAGACTATAGCAGAGAAATCTGTACAAATACGAGATAGAAGAAAAGATTTGGAGGAGTCACTTCCTATCCCAGTATGCTGAAAAGTAAGCCAGTCTGCAGGAATGAAAAGTTTCAAGGAATCTTTCGGCTGCTATCGAACATACAATTCTCTCAGAAACTAGCTCTTAATATCAGGGGCTAGAGTGATAGTACAGCGCGTAGGGCGCTTGCCTTGCATGGGGTGACCCACATTCAGTCTCTAGCATCCCAAACAGTTCCCGAAGCCCCACCAGAAGTGATTCCTGAGCATCACCAGGTATGACCCCAAAAAAGCAACAGCTAAAATACAAGCTAGTTCTTAAAATCACATGCAAGCAGCCATTAAAAGTATCAGAATGGGGGCTGGGGCTGGAGAGATAATACAGCAGGTAGTGCACTTGCCTTGCATATGGCTGACCCGGGTTCGATTCCCAGCATCCCGTGTGGTCCCTGAGCCCACCAGGAGTGAGTCACGAGTGCAGAGCTCGTGCACGGCCGGGTATGACCCCAAAACAAGCAAAAAGAATCAGCATGATTCTTGAGAAAAGGTATTTTCTCCAAGTGTTGTTTTTAGGGGAAAACAAATACTGGTTGAGACTAATGTTTAGAATCATAACAGCATTCTTTAAACCAAAATGAATTAGTCATAAAAATCATCACTTGTATTGGGTCTCCTTTGAAAGCTCTTATAGTACACTTAATGAAATCATGGGAAAACTTCCAAAATTATGTCAGAATCAGAGGAAGGGAAATTTTAAAACAAAACTTGGCCCTGTGAGGTTTTTCTTTTTTTTAATCATGCTCATATTTAGAGATTTTAAATCTTAATATAACTTCCTTGTATTTATGGGGAGCCTGTTTTTGAAATGTCATCAGCCAAACTATGAAAACAATGAATTTCCATCTCCTATCAGGAAGGTGCAGAGCATGTTGTGGAAAGAGACCCTGGAACTTTTCAGTTGGACCAGTCAGTGCTGCTTCCTCAGACACTCCAGCCTCCCTTCCTGCCTTTCCCCACCTCTTCCCCTCACCAGAAAGGCATCCTCTGCTCTGGGACACTGAAGATAAAATAAGCCTTTTGGAGAAAGCTGGTGGCTTTTACTTTTCACTCTCCAGCTCATAAAGCAAATCCCCATAGACCCCTGAGTTAAGAAATGGTATCCAGTGGCTCGTGATCGCTGATAATATAAATCAGAATTTTAAAATTCAAGAAATTTGCATCTTGTCTACAGGCCAGATTTTGGGGCCTCTCCAAATTAATACTTTGCTTTGCTGATGGAACGAAAATAAGTCCTTGGAGAGCTGAGTTGTAGAGAACATTGGCTGGGTGTGGTTTCAGCTCTTTCATGTTGTTTCCACTAAAGTGCTGCTTTTACTTAGAAATGTGGGTGCTGCCACACTGTATTTCCCTCCATGTGATGATTCTGGGAAGGTGTAGACATGTAAAATGATTTTGCAAAGCATTTGGTAGGAGCCTAAGGACGCAAATAGTGATATAAAGCACTGTTTGCCAAAGTGGGTGATCCTTCCCTCCCTGGGGGTGCTGGGCCCGTCTGAGGAGTAGTATTCTCCATAGGCACAATAGGGCAGGGGGGCTGTTTGTTCTCTTGAAAAGGGTGAAATTCTAGGAGAGCACTGACAGTGATTTTTTTTTTTCCTCTGAGAGCGTCGTGGTAGGCCAACTAAATTTTTGGGAACCTCTGATAAAAGGAGTAAGTTGGAGTTCTCTCCTGGTACTTTAGGAGGGTGCGAAAAAATATTTAAAGAGTATTTACGATCATGGTACCAAAAATAGCTGCCTTCTATAAGAATGTGATGGCAGTGTCTGTAAAATAAATATCCAGGGAGAA